AAGCTATAAAAAAAAAAAGTGTACTTTGCCTTTTGAATTAGATTTGACAAGAAATTCACGAGTGTTAAAATAGAAAATTTTTTACTGAAAAGACCATCTTCTTATTATTCCCAAAAATATTTTTTTAAAAAATGTGGCGAGAGGCTTAGGCTTCCGTGCACGGAGGTAATGTCCCCCGTGCACGAAGGTCTAGACCTCCGTGCACGGAGGCTGCATTTTTTTTTCCTTTTAACATGTTTTTGAAAATAATAAAAAAATAGATATTTATAAGTAGTCAAGCAAAAGCAACCTGAATTTTTAGATTGTTTCAATTCTAATAACGATGCAATCCTTCCCACTAATCAATTATGAATTTCAGAGAACATAGTGCAAGAACAAGAAATTGATTATCAAATTCATGTATAAATCTCATCTAATTAAATAAAATTAAAAACATCTATCTCAAATTAACTAATATCGTCAAAAAAAATTAGATGATTTCTTACTAATATATACATGTTATATAACGAAAAAAAACACATAATCTAACTCTTCCTCCCAAATTTTGTTTAGATTTTCCCCTATTATATTTGTTTTTATTCATTAGGCATGTTTGTTTAAATAAATAATTGAAATATGATGTCTATGCACACTTTGATAAATATTTGAAGCTTGGTGGCTTATCTATGCGTAGCTATGGATAGTCTATATTTCTCGAAGTTAGCATAATAATAATAATTTTTTTTATTTTCCTCGTCAATATCGTATATTTTATTAATTTTCTGTTTTAAGTTTTAGGCTTTGCATATCTCTTAGTTGACGTGCTTGCTGTCATGACTTGCTTGCTTTCATAGTCATAATGGGTAGATGGACACCTACATTTTTCCAGCTCCAAGTTCTTGAATCTATATTTCATCAAAGCAACACAACTCCAAACAAATTGAAAATCGCACAGATAGTCTCTGAATTGTCGTTATATGGATAAATTTGTGATAAGAATGTTTATAATTAGTTTAAAAATAAACGTGCCTATTCAAGAACGCCATCCACACAAACACAAGATTCTCAACTTTAGTCAATGGTAAAAGAAGACAAATTGCGTAAAAGAGTTTTAGGTATGATTATTTGTTAAAATATGGTTTTTTATTCATTTTGTTCATTCCCTTTTCTACACAATTTTAATATACATATTTAGCATTTTGAAAGTTACTACAAGTTATGCACCAGAAAAGCGAACTATATGTCGTGACTTTGAAACAGGTTTGGTTTTTTTTTTTTTTATGTTTGTTTACTTGTGTTTTTCCTTTTTTTTTTTTTTTAGATTTTTTTTTTAGTCTCTCAGTTGTCGTTATATGGCCAAATTTGTGATAAGAATGTTTGTAATTGGTTTAAAAATAAACGTGCTCGTTCAAGAACATCATCCACACAAACACAAAATTCTCAACTTAAGCCAATGGTAAAAGAAGACAAATTACGTAAAAGGGTTTTAGGTATGACTATTTGTTAAAATATGATTTTTTTGTTCATTTTTGTTCATTCTCTTTTCTACGTAATTTTAGCATACATATTCGGTATTTTGAAAGTTACTACAAGTTATGCACCAGAAAAGCGAACTATATGTCGTGACTTTGAAACAGGTTTGGATTTTTCTTTCGTTCGTTTACTTGTGTTTTTCCATTTTTTTTTTTAGAATTGTTTATGTTATCTTTCATCAATCTTATTTTTAGGTTTTTATGTTCTATTGATGATTGTATTGAGTTATACAAGGATGAAAGTATTTGTCTAGAAAAAAACTCTGAAAATGACAATGAAATATCAGATATTCTTAATATTTTACCCGATTCTAAAAGAGTTTATTCCAAACGAATAAATCTACGAGATATTCCGACCAAACCTTATATTCTTCCATCATGTACAATTTGTAAATATTGTGCTGCAAAAAAGTTTCATAAAGAAAGTAAGGGCTTTTGTTATTATGATGAAAAGTTAGATTACAGTTAAATAGTATTCCTCCTGAATTGTTTGAGTTATTTACTTCTACTTCATGTGAGGTAGTTGCTTTTAAAAAAGTTGCTCGTTGTTAAAACAATCATTTTGCTTTTACTTCTTTTGGTGTTAGATATGATAAAAATTTGTATAGAAATAGTAAAGGTATATATACATTTAAAGTTCAAAGACAAGTGTACCATTTTATAAATCCATTGTTACCAACTGATAGGAAACCAGCATATTTACAGTTATATTTCTAGGATACTGATGATGAAATCACTAATAGACTAAAAAATTCTAACAAGTTATGTGAAACAACTTTGAGAAAATTGATAGATGTCTTAAAGATGAATCCATATTGTTGTTTTTTCGGTCATTAAGGGAAATTTATGATTTTGGTTAATGTCATATTGTACTTAGGTGTAATCCAAGTCTTGACCAAAGGCTGTACAATATGCCATCGTGTAAACAAATGGCCACAGTTTGGGTTGATAAAGACCCATCTGCAAGCCTTCAAAATCGTGATATATTAATTTATTGACATTTTAACACTACACATAAAGTAAACTACTATTATGGCTGCTACGATCCACTTCAGTATCCATTAATATTTGCCTATGGAGAACTGGATGGCACGAAGATATCTAAAAAGTCAATTTGAATACTTCTTCACTCATATATAAAATTTTTATACAAATTAATAACATTCACTCCACTGAACAACTTTTGGAAATGGATGATCGTGGTAAGTTTTATCATCTGTGAACTTGTTTTATATGTAATAAAAGTGTATATAATTATATTATCCTTCTCAAATTTTTTCTTCATATTTCTTTTCAGTTTTGACGAAAACGAAGAAGCGAATGAATGTATCCTGTCGCGAATATTATTGCTACAAACTTCAAGTGAGGCTTTCAGATAAGTCTATACTTCTTCATACAGGCAGACTTCTGCAGCAATATATAGTAGATATGTATGTTAAAATTGAGACTGCAAGATTAGACTATTTTCGAAATAATCAAAAGATTATAAAAACGGAACTTTACCAAGAAATTATAGATAGTGTACAAAGTGGTGAGAATAGAGGCTATAAGATTGGTAAATCAATAGTGTTATCCACAATTTTATTGGAGGTCTTAGAAATTTAACGAAAAGATATGTGGAAGCAATTTCTTTAGTTCAAAGATATGGAAAACCCAATGTATTTTTAACAATGACATGCAATTCAAATTGGCCTGAAATTAAACAAAAATGAGACATAATGATAAAATACAAAATAGGCCAGTCTTGTTAGCACGAATATTTCGAGCTAAACTTGAGGAACTAAAAAGAGATTTATTAAATAGGGAAATTCTAGGGCCTGTAATTGCTTCTGTTTATATGATTGAATTCCAAAAAAAGGTCTACCTCACGTTCATTTTCTTCTTATATTTAAACCAAATTTTAAGATTACTAATTCTATTTAAGTTGATGAAATTGTTTCGTGTAAAATACCAGATAAAAAGAAAAATTCTTACCTACATGCTACTGCGATCAAACATATGATGCATGGTCCTTGTGGACAATTAAATTTTACAAATGTTTGCATGGAAAACAACCATACTTGTAAAAATAAATATCCAATATGATATATTTTACATACTTTATTAAGTAATAATTCTTACCCGCTTTACAGACGTCGTAACAATGGTGTTACTGTTAAAGTCAGAGGATGCATACTAGACAATAGATGGGTTGTACCATACAATCCGTATATTTTAGCTAAATATGATTGTCATATTAATGTAGAAATATGTTCTTCTGTTAAAGCTGTGAAATATTTATATAAATATGTATACAAAGAACATGATTGTGTTAATTTTGCAGTGAATAAAAAAATTAATGAATATTATATTGATAAAATTTCAAATTCCCAAACTGTTAGATGGATATCTGCGCCTGAAGCTGTTTGGAGAATTTTTAGTTTTGATTTATTTGGCATATCTCCTTTTATAATTTTTTTGCAATTACAAGTTGAAAATTCTCAATTAGTTATGATGATTTATCAGAAGTTATAAATAAAGACCTTATCCAACGAACAATGTTAACTAAATTTTTTCGAATGAATATTTCTGATGAAAAAGCTTGAACTTTACTTTATAAAGATTTTCCTGCATATGGAATACATATTTGCGAGTTTGAAATACTAGAAAAAAGTAAAATGTTATTTGTAGAATATTTGCTGCTAATCCATCTGAGGGTGAGAGATACTTTTTAAGAGTTTTACTGAATCATATTAAAGGACCAAAATCTTTTGAAGATTTAATAACAGTTAATGGTGTTGTAGCACCTACCTATCGCCAAGCTGCATTCTTACATGGTCTAATAAATGGAAATAATTATTCTGACATGTGTTTAACTGTGGCAATTTCTTATCAAATGCCTATACCACTCCATCGACTTTTTGCTAATGTGCTGACTTTTTGTGCTTCTACAAATCCTAGAAATTTATGGATTAAATTTAAAGCTTACATGATAGAAGATTTTTTACATACAAGTCAGACAAAGTATGATACTGAGATTAGAGCTCTATGGTGTATAAATTTATTCTTAGAAGTTGTTGGTAAAAGTGTAAATAATTTTTACTTCACAGATTTCAACATTACTGTAAATGACGTCGACATGTTAGCAAATATGATTTTAGAAGAAAGTACAAATGTTAGTGTTGAGTCTGACATACATTTTACAAAAAGTTTAAATAAAGAACAACAATTTGCTTATGATACTATTTTAGATTGTGTTTTGAACGATAGAAATGGACTTTTTTTATTGATGGTTCAAGAGGTACTGATAAAACTTATTTGTACAAAGCATTACGTGTTACAGTATGATGTAGACAACTCACTGCATTGGCAACAACATCATCTGGAGTAGCTACTTCTTTATTATCTGGTGGAAGAACTGGTCATTCGCATTTTAAAATTCCTCTTCAAACAAGTTCTGATATGCGATGTTCGGTAAGTAAACAATCTACGCTTGGTCAGCTTTTAAAAATGACGAAGCTAATTGTGTGGGATGAAATACCAATGGTTAATAAATATGCTTTTGAAACTTTAGATAAAATGTTAAAATATATTACTGAATGTGAATTGCCATTTGGTGGAAAGGTCATTATGTGTGGAGGGGATTTTCGTCAAATCTTGTCAGTGGTACATAGAGGAACGAAAGATGATATTATGAAAGCAAGTTTAGTATTTTCATATTTGTGGCAATACTTTAGACAACTACCACTAAATCAAAATATGAGAGCTAGATTGAATCCTTCCTTTTGTGAATATTTAAAAATTGGAAACGGAATTGAAAACGAGCATATATGTTGCATGATTAAGTTTCCTTCAGATATTGTCATAGATTTTGAAGATGAAGATAAATCATTGAAAAAGTTGATCAGCGTTGTGTTTCCAAATTTTCGCACTTATAGTGAAAATTTAAATACTATGATGAATAGAATTATTTTAACTCCAAAAAATGAATATGTAGATATGATAAACAATATGTTAGTTAAACAAATTCAAGGAGATACATTTACATATTTCAGTTTCGATGAAGTGGTTGATAAAACAGAATAATTTATTTATGAAGATTTTTTGAATAGTTTAGCTCCAAATAGTATACCTCCACATGAACTTGTTCTAAAACCAAAAAAAAAATAAAAAAAATTGTCCTGTTATGTTGCTCAGAAATATTAATCATTCAGAAGGTTTGTGCAATGGAACTAGACTTATTTGTCGTGAATTTAATCAAAATGTTATTTTAGCTGAAATTGGATCTGGTGAATATCGTGGAAAACAAGTATTTTTACCTTAAATTTCATTTATTCCACTTGAGAGAGATAAACATTCAGTACCCTTTAAAAGAACTCAATTTCTCATTCGTCCTTGTTTTGCTATGACTATTAATAAGGCCCAAGGTCAAACATTAGAATTTGTAGCTCTATGTCTTCCTGAACTTGTGTTTTCACATGATCAGGTATATATTGCGTTGTCTAGAGCAAAAATAAGACAAAATATAAAAGTTTTGATTAAGCCAGCAGACGAAAATAAATCACATATTTGTTGCACAAAAAATGTGGTGTATCTGAAAATTTTGAATTTAATACATTCTATTTAACAAGTCTAGAATTCTAAATTGTCCAAAATTAATCTATCATCCCGTTACTGCCAAAGTGAAGATTTATACATCATGTTTCAACAATAGAATACATAAGGTTAGTTATTTTCATTTGTTTTTTTAATTATAGTTATATTTTATTTGCTAACATGCTTAATTTTTTTTATCATCTTTCTTATTTAAAGCATAAATATGAATATTTAACAATAAATTTATGAGGAAAGAAACCACGAAAATTGTGATATTATAATGTTGACTCATACTAAAATTAAAATATTGTCAATTCGTTTAGGTTTATTACGATGTTACCATAGTTTAATTTTTTTCTATATATACACCAACAATTTGACAAAATAGAAAAAAAAAAAAACACACACACACACACAAACGGAGTGAAGTCCACTTCTTCTTTAGTGGTTTTATTTTTCTCTTCTATTAGCCTGTTGAAAATATAGAACACTCAGCTTCAAATTTGGAATCCATTATTGCATGGTCTTTAGAAATTAAGGTAGAACCATCTTTAATAAGTCATTTTAGTAACTTCAACTCTAGCACAATACTCTAATAGAGTAAATATATGTAAATTTAATTTATTAATATCAAACATAAAATTAAATTAATTGTAATTACTAAACTTTACTCACTGTGGGAGTTACATCTTTTCCTACATCCAATAAATTTTTCAACATGTCACTTCCAATGTAATTGCTCCTGTCATCTCAATACGTACTATATAAAAAAATATAATTAATGTTAGATAATATAATTTACTATCCACTGAATAAAAAAAAGTATTTAAGCTAATACAGTAGAGTTAAATTTGTTACCCTGACGGATTATGCAATATCCAATCTCTAATCATGTTGTACTTATCCTTTGGATAGGTTTCTAAAGGATGGCTTTTTGATGACGAAGATAATATCTGTTTTTCCTTACCTTTAGTTTCTCTTCTCAACCCTTCAAAACTTTCTGTCTGTTGTTCATATGTTGATGGTTGTCTTGGCAAATCGTTGAGAATTGGAATTGTGTGGATAGAAACATCTTGTTGCATAGAACCAATAATGGCTTCTATGTTTGATACATTGTTCAACGTATTCTTGTTCTGTTCATTTACATAAGATCTCATTGAACTTAAACTGTTATCAACATAAGATTGCATGTTGCCTAAACTATTATCTTATTGCCATTTTTGCTGCTGTTAAAATTTCTGTTGGAATCCTTGTTTGTGGATGTCAAGAATAGCATCCATATAAAAATGAATATTGTATTGAATATAATCTTCCTGCCATTTTTGATGTTGTTCAAACAACTGGTTTTGACTGTGAAATATTTCTTCCTTCAAGTTATGGCATGCACCAGATACATCTGATATTACATGTTGCCTATGTATTCCCAACATTTCTTCCAATTGTTCTCAAATTATATAGTTGGAAGTATCAAAAGCAGAAGCAGAACCAACTCCAGGAGAAGTTCTCAAACTATTGGGAATAGTCGTTTCTTGCACAAAGATATTTTTTGGGATTTGTTGTACTATGTTATCTAATTCCCCATTGACAATACCATCTAAGATGCTATGTTGATTATCCACTGGCATTGAAAGAGTTGTATACCATGACAATTCTAACTCTTCTTCGGTAAGATATAACACTGCAACTACCTCAATCTGTAATCATGATAACTAAATTTAGTTTTTAAATGATGAAATGGAAATGTAATTGTGCATTCATAAAAAAGTACGTTATACCTCCTTGGTGGCCAAAAAATGTTTTACCATTTTCTTAGTCAATATTGCATTAGGTCTCCACTTATACATTCGAGGACTTTGTGCTGTTTTGTATTTCCGATGTCCAAATTTTTTTCAATATGTGGAAAGGCTTCATATATCCAAAACTGCAAGTAATTATAATCTTTTGTTATACAAATAAATTATGCATAATATATATAACAATAAAAGAATAGAAAAAATTTACCTAGAATGCAAGTGGATATCCTCTTAATGCATATTTACAACCTGTTTGTTGATTTTGTTATGCTCTTTGCACTCTTTCAACTTGTGATTCTTGCAATAGATTTAACAAAACAAAATAAGCAAGAAAGTCATCGAGATGCTCGACCATACCAAGAGTCTTATAATCAATAATTCTGCCGGTTGGTTTCAAAACACACTTCACAAACATAACCAACCCCAGCTTAAATTTATCTATGTAGTCTTCGCATGAATGGAACGCTTGGTGCAACATTCTCATATTAATTCTTCTCGTACCATTGAAATATTGATTTATAAGACGATAGTTATTATAATTAATCTCCACAGATGGTTCATGGCATGGTAATCCAGTGATGAGACAATATTCTTGCATGCTAAATCTGGCAACATAATCACCTAACCATACCCACACTTCATTATTTTTACCACAATGTACAAGCCTCATCACAAATTCATGTATCAACCTACTACTAAATTGTTCATCTTCTTCCCTATAAATAACTCCTGCAAAAAATCCATAGAAATTGCGACACATAACAGAAGCATGTTGATTTGCATCTATAGATTCAATAAAATCTTGGAGATATTTCCGATTTGGATATTGACAGATAATGGCAAAGAACCATTGATTTGGAGAGACAATATATTCTAGAGACATTTGCATAATAAAAAAAATAGACAAATTTATATTTATAAGAATTTTATAAATTCTAACTCTATATCTACATCTCACAATGGCAATAATTCATGTGTTATTATCTATGTTTTAGATGATTATGACAAAAGAATACTAAAATTCCAAGACTTTATACATAATATATTTCAGGTAGAATGAAGACTTAAATGAATAATTAAGGCTATAATTTTCCCTTCATCTTATCTTTCTTTTTTCTACCTATTGGAGATTTTATTTTAAAAGTGGTTATAGTTTACTTGACTTCGCATTATTAGTTTTGCAGTAAACATTTTAGTATAAAATCTAAATTATTTTTAAGAAGAAAATGTTTTCCAATCTAAATTATTTTTAAGAAGAAAATGTTTTTCAATTAAAAATATATTGTATACATAGATTAACGAAGCATATATAGACAGGTCTCTCCGTGCACGGAGAGACGGCCTCTCTGTGCAGCCTCTCCGTGCACAGAGAGGCCACCTATCCATGCACCACCGGTGCCTGACAATATTTTCTTGTCCATTTCAATAATAAATCTTACTTTTTATCCAGCTAAATGTTTGCGCCTTGTCACTTTTCTCTATTTTGAAGACTCTTCCTCTCTTGCAAAAATATAAAATTGGTAAAATGTTAGTATGATTGATGAGATAAAATGTTAGAAAAATTCTTCACATGTGAACTCTCATGACTTTTAGTAGTTGAGGTAATAAGTGAAGATAATAATTGTAGGAATATTATTTTATTGTTTTGTGAGTTAGTTGGGATAATAATTGTAGGAAATAAATTTTCTTTTGACTTTTTTGACTTTTTTTTTTTGTTATTTCATTAACATATTAATTCATATTTATATTCAAAAAAAAAAACTAATAACTATTTTTAGCAAATTTGTCTTGGATGAACAAAGTATATCATAAATATCTTTTCTAAAAACTCTTTCTCATCATAAATTATCATTGTACTTGTACTAAAATTAAAACTTTACCACTCCATATCTATTTACAGAGTTATTACTCAGTATAAAGTATGGGCAGTATATAAAATCTATTTACAGAAGTTATTAGTCAATAAAGTATGGGCACGATGAAATTTTACAAACCGTAATATAGCTTTATTTTAGTTTTATATAGTACAAAAAAAAACAGAGTAATATTATTTTAAATATTTTACTCTAATAATTAATTCAATTCATCTTATTAGTACTCTAAGTTTACAAGTAATCCCCATACTAGGTATGACTATAGATTAGATTTTACAATGTATTACTGTTAAATATAATATAAAAAATATAAATGATATAACTCTAGGTGTCTATATATATCTTCTTCTGTTTTCGATTGGTTATCTCAAAAGAAACATTTTCTCTCAAAAGTTAGTCTGTCTTCATCCTGTTTATACAAATATTGTCACCATCACAATGGAAGAAAAGTACCAACTTATACCAGAAATTCTATCCAACAATAAAAAATGGAAAGCCAAAGTAATTATTGTAGAGAAACAATCACCAAAACCTTCTAAGACAAGGCAACAGGAGCTCTACAATGGAGGATTTTTGAAGAAACTCGTGTTCAAGAGTTGAATGACAATAATGTGAAACTTGTTTTCTCAACCTATCACCTAACTTCCATCGATGAAGTTGAACAGTTCATGGATACAAACACTAATATAAGTAAGAAATTGCATTTTTATTCTCAAAATAAATAATACTATTATATATAATTTAATCAAATAATTAAAATTACAATCAACACAAAAAATTTTATTTATTTTTCATTTTGCAGACATTTTGGCTATTGTGATTGATATGATACCTAAACGATTGATTCAATCAAAGGGTGACAATCAAACTTGGGTATAGGATGTAATACTTCTGGACCAAAAATTCAAAACAATGATGTTGACACTGTGGGATTTATTTGTTGACAAAGAATGCAAATTATTCACAAAAAATATTGACAAAAAACCAGTAATCTTTGCAACAAACCTAAAAGTCACTTCTTTTTTCGGTAAGTTTCAATTATTTTTCCTTATTTAAACTCTGCTTAAAAATGCATTTCATATCTTACATCAATGAATTGTATAGGTTTAAAACTCTCCACAAAAGTTCGTAGTACGTTTTTCATGAATACTCCTTTCATTGCAGTACAAAAGTTGGTTGAATGGTATATATGCATATCCTTCCGCTTACAATTATTATGGTTTTATTCGGCTTATTTACTCTTTCATTCTTTCAGGAAAGATACAAATTTAGACAAAATCAATGAGTTAATTTTGAAAAAGCCATACACTCAAAAATCTCCCACAAAATTGTCTCCTCCAATGCGCAACAAATTCACCTTAATTTAGAATCTACATGGCCGACTTTTACCGATATTTATATATTCATGTACACAATAAAATTATGGTTTCTATTTATGTTTCTTTATAAGTTAGAATTTCCTTTTTTTCAGGGAAAATTTTATTGGGTGAATGCCACAGCAAAAATGGAAAAAATAGATCAGAAATGTTGGTACATGGCTTGCAGCAACTGTTATCGACAATCAAGCGCTGATTTTGGTGAAATATATGTTTGTATTTTCTATAAAATTTCCAATTCCAATGCTATTCCTCTGTAAAATATATTTTTCCACACCTTTCTAATATATATATATATATATATATTCCACGCCTTTCTATATATATATATATATATATATATTATTCCTAAATAAATAAATAATTACTCTCTTTATCTCAGAGCAAAAGCATATGTCCAATTATCAGATGTCACAGGATGTATAAATGCAAGTGCAATTGCTGAAGCTACAGAAAAACTTATGTTCACAGATACACAAACTTTGATGGACGAAACAAACTTTGTAATAATTTACCGTCTTCTCCAATCTCTATTTTGGTATATTTGATGGAT